GTCACATGGTACAGTCACATGGTACAGTCACATGGGACAGTCACATGGTACAGTCACATGGTACAGTCACATGGTCACATGGTACAGTCACATGGTGCAGTCACATGGTGCAGTCACATGGTACAGTACATACAGCACACACGACAGTCACATGGTACAGTCACATGGTACAGTCACATGGTACAGTCACATGGTACAGTACAGTCACATGGTGCAGTCACACAGTACAGTCACATGGTACAGTCACACAGTCACATACAGTCACATGGTACAGCACATGGTACAGTCACATGGTGCAGTCACATGGTACAGTCACACAGTCACACAGGACAGTCACATGGTCACACAGGGTCACACATGGTACAGTCACATGGTACAGTCACAGTCACATGGTACAGTCACACAGTCACATGGTACAGTCACATGACAGTACAGTCACATGGTACAGTCACATGACAGTCACACAGTCACAGTCACACAGTCACATGGTACAGTCACATGGTACAGTCACATGGTCACACAGTCACATGGGTCACAGTCACACGGTGTACATGTCACACAGTCACATCACAGTCACAGTCACATGGTACAGTCACAGTCACATGGTACAGTACAGTCACATGACAGTACAGTCACATGGTACAGTCACATGGTGCAGTCACAGTCACACATGGTACAGTCACACAGTCACATGGTACAGTCACAGTCACACATGGTGCAGTCACATGGTACAGTCACATGGTACAGTCACATGGTCACACATGGTCACACACACAGTACTGTCACACGGTACAGTCACATGGGACAGTCACATGACAGTACAGTCACACGGTGCAGTGCAGTCACATGGTACAGTCACACGGTGCAGTCACATGCAGTCACATGTACAGTCACATGGTGCAGTACAGTCACATGGGTACAGTCACATGGTCACATGGTACAGTCACATGGTACAGTCACATGCCAGTACAGTCACATGGTGTCACAGTCACACGGTGCAGTACAGTCACATGGTACAGTCACATGGGTCACAGTCACACATGGTGCAGTCACATGGTCACACAGTCACAGTCAACATGGTACAGTCACATGGGTCACATGGTACAGTCACATGGTCACACAGTCACACAGTCACATGGTACAGTCACATGCAGTCACAGTCAGTCACATGGTGCAGTCACACATGGTACAGTCACACGGTACAGTCACATGGTACAGTCACATGGTACAGTCACATGGTACAGTCACACGGTAACAGTCAGTCACATGGTACAGTCACACGGTGCAGTCACATGGTACAGTCACACGGTGCAGTCACATGGCAGTCACAGTCACACATGGTACAGTCACACAGTGTACAGTCACACGGTGTCACAGTCACACTGGTACAGTCACACGGTGCAGTCACACATGGTACAGTCACACAGCACATGGTACAGTCACATGGTACAGTCACACGGTGTCACAGTCACACGGTACAGTCACACGGTCACAGTACAGTCACACGGTACAGTCACACGTACAGTCACATGGTACAGTCACACGGTGCAGTCACACGGTACAGTCACATGGTACAGTCACACGGTGCAGTCACATGGTCAGTCACACGGTGGCAGTCACATGGTACAGTCACACGGTGCAGTCACATGGTACAGTCACACGGTGCAGTCACATGGTACAGTCACACGGTGCAGTCACATGGTACAGTCACATGGTACAGTCAGAATTTCCCTCTAGTGAAAAGAAAATGCAGCCACAATAAATCCTGACCCCCCAAAATCATCGTCCGTCTGTCGTGTGCTGAAGTCGACACTGTGGTTATCGTGTTTTATGTGGGGCAGATTCAGGTGGATCTTCTCTCACCTGGGAGGAAGTCTCTGTGGTGCAGACAGAGCCTCCAGCCCTGCTCCTGCTCCAGCCTGGGCACCAGCTCCTCGCACACCCAGGCCTCGTCGCGGCTGTTGTACGACACAAACGCGTCGTACAGACTCTCCGCTCGCTTCTGCCTGTTTCTGGAGTCGAAGAGCCACGCCAAGAACAGGTAGTAGGCGTAACTCAGGTGAAATCTGCTGAAGTGGAAGACGAAGGAGACGACGAGGGTCAGAGCGGTGAGGCAGGACGTGCAGATGAAGCAGAGGAAGTCGACGTGCACCAAACACGACTGGACGTTAAACTGGAGAAGTTTGGAGTTCTTCTGTTCAGGCCGGTAGCTACACACAAAAGAATGAGCGTCTCTCACCTGCATCCTGTTATCGTTTATGATCCACTTGATGAGGAACGCATTCTCACAGTCACAGGCAAAAGAGTTCCGTTTCAAATCGAACTCCAGCAGACTCGGTACAGATCGTATAATGTCCTCACCGATCACAGAAAGTCCATTGTTTTCCACACTGAGAGACGTCAGGTTCGTGAGGTTGGCGGTGATCAGGAAGTCCAAGGAGCGCAGGTTTGCGTTACTGATTTTGAGTTTCTTTAGATTCGGAATGGGAGCGAATAGTTCGGAGGAAAGGTCGTAGAGGCTGTTGGAGCTGATGTCCAGGGAGCTGAGACGAGGCGTGTGCTGGAAAAAGTTTGCAGAAAAGTTCCCAATTTCCCATTTATTGCAAGAAAACAATTGCAGATTTGTCAAGCCCTGAAGGAAATCTGAAGGCAAGATCTTGTTACCTGTAATACTACAGCCGGAAATCTTCAAACTCTCTAAACGAGTTAAGTTCTGAAACGGCGGTCCTAGAAAATGTGATTTTGTCAAGAGTTTAAAATGATTATTCTCCAAATTCAGGCTCTGCAGATTCAGCAAATCTCCGAAACAGAGACAGTTGAACGCCGTGTTTTTGAGAAAATTCTTCTTCAGGTGAAGCTTCTCCAAATTTGCGAGGCCAGAGAAGCAACCTTTATACAGAACTCTGATCTGATTTTGAGCTAAAAACAACTTCTTGAGCGAATTCAAACCGCTGAACTCACCGCGAGTTATCGCCGTGATTTTGTTCCGAGCTAAGAAAAGCGATTTCAGATTCGGTAAATGGGACTGAAACGCGCTGCCAAGTTCCGTTATAGAATTCTCCTGTAAATTCAAATCTTCCAACTTGTTCATCTTGAGAAAGGAGCAGTTACTCAAAGCTGTGATCTTGTTCTTTTGAAGGTTGAGTCCTTTTAGGTTCTCCAGTCCAGTGAAATCGCGGCATCCGATCGTTTTGATGTGGTTAAACGAAAGATCGAGTTCGCGGAGGGATTTCAGGTTTCGAGTAGCTGACGGTACTTTCTGTAGACTGTTGGAACTGAGGATCAGGCTCTGCAAACGCCGAAAAACGCTAAAGGAGCCGTCTTTTACTTTTTTAATATTGTTTCTACCCAAATCGAGCTTCGTGACGCCACCACACAACCTGAATAAGTTGGGTCCGATTATGAGGCTGTTGCTCTGAATCTGCAGTTGCCGTAGATTGGACAACGAGCACGAAAGGTTTAGGAGAATTTCCGGCTTGAACCTCATTTTGCCCAAGTTTAGGAAAGTCACAGAGGAGTTAAAAGCCGAAAACAGCCTTGTCCAGTCGTCGACGGAAGCCAGCCGAGCGCCGCTGATGTCCAGAGAGGTCACGTGACTCAGCAGGCTTCGGTTCTGGACAGTGAACGTGAGGTTGGACTTCACCGTGCGATTCGCCGACGTTAAGTTCGGTCAGTTGAGGAAAAACATCGGCCGATACCTCGAACTTCTCCAGCGGATTTTCGGACAGATCCAGGGTCTTGATCCGAGTGGAGGCGTTGGTCAGATCTCGTGAGCGGAACGTGGTTATGCTACAGTTTTGAATAAAAAGCAGATTTAAAAGAGGCAAGTGCTGTAAATGAACTTGTGCGACGGCGCGGAGCTTGTTGTGGGACAGAGCGAGAACTGCAAGGTTTCTCAGGGGTCGAAAAGCGTTCATTTCTACGATTCTGACGCGGTTGGAGTTCGACGTACAGCTCTTTAAGTTTAGACAAACCATAAAACATTTCGTCTGTGAGGATTTCTATTCTGTTTCTGCTCAGACTCAGCCGTTTGAGCGACGTCAGCTCAAAAAAAGCGCGTTTGCCGACGTACGAGATGGCGTTCTCTTTCAGGTTGACCGAAGTGACGTTGGGGAAGCGCGCGAAGTCCGAGAGGCGAACGTTGGAGATGTTGTTGGAGCTCAGGTCGATGCTGAGCACGGAGGGGGGCAGGTCCGCGGGTATCTCGTTCAGTTTGTGAGACGAACACACGGCTTTTCCGTCCAACAGGTAACAGTTCTGGAGGGAAAAAGCTCCGACGCCGAGGCCAAACCCGAGACCCAAGAGGAGGAAGTGAAGTGCGCGCTCCACACTCATCTTTGTACAGACTGAACAGTGACCACTTTACTCCTGCAACACAGAAAACAGAAGTGAAAACTAAAGCTTCAGACATAGATAGAAAACACTTTTATATTAAGCTATTCTCTGTTATAAAGTTATTTCCTCATCACAGTCAGACCTGCAGTCGTGTTTTGAGTCATGTTCAACAAACGGAACCTGCACATTTAGGCTGATTCTTTCCTCTCAAACTGAAAACTCCTTGCAGTGTCAGTTGTTTCAATAAACAGATAAATACAGTTTTCCCTCATTTATCACAGGAGTTACATTCTGAAAATAACCTGTGAAGTTGTCGACTTTATATTTTACAATTATTTTACCTCAGAGGTGTCAGAGTCATTTTGTTCCGGGGGTCGTGTCCAACCGACTCCGGATCAGAAAACTCATGTCGTATAAACCCCAAAAATAACAATAGGTTCAAATATTTGTGCAGAGAAACACAAATCTATTACAGAAATCTTTTTTAATTGACGAACTCTTTCTTTTACAAAATATTATAATATTATGAACAACCTGAAACTTTAAGAAAAATACAATTTCAACACAAAGTTTGAACATGAACTTGTCTGTAAACAGGAATAAGTCCATTTTTGTTGTAAAATCCTGCACTCGGCTCCACTTTTCTCATGTTGGACATTTTTCTGATGAGGGTGTCACGGTCAAAAGGGTCTCCTCAGGGTCTCCTCAGGGTCACCTCAGGGTCTCCTCAGGGTCACCTCAGGGTCTCCTCAGGGTCTCCTCAGGGTCACCTCAGGGTCTCCTCAGGGTCACCTCTTCAGGTCGGGTCTCCTCAGGGGCCTGTCAGGGTCCTCAGGGTCACCTCAGGGTCTCCTCAGGGTCTCAGGGTCTCCTCAGGTCTCCTCAGGGTCACTCAGGTCTCCTCAGGGTCACCTCAGGGTCTCCTCAGGGTCACCTCAGGGTCACCTCAGGTCACCTCAGGGTCTCCTCAGGGTCTCCTCAGGGTCACCTCAGGGTCACCTCAGGGTCTCCTCAGGGTCACCTCAGGGTCTCCTCAGGGTCTTCAGGTCACCTCAGGGTCCTCAGGGTCTCCTCAGGGTCTCCTCTCAGGGTCCTCAGGGTCCTCAGGGTCCCTCAGGTCACCTCAGGGTCACCTCAGGGTCACCTCAGGGTCTCCTCAGGGTCTCCTCAGGGTCTCCTCAGGGTCCTCAGGGTCTCCTCAGGGTCTCCTCAGGTCACCTCAGGGTCACCTCAGGTCTCCTCTCAGGGTCTCCTCAGGGTCTCCTCAGGTCACCTCAGGGTCTCCTCAGGGTCAGGTCACCTCAGGGTCGCCTCAGGGTCTCCTCAGGGTCTCCTCAGGGTCGCCTCAGGGTCTCCTCAGGGTCGCCTCAGGTCCTCAGGGTCACCTCAGGTCGCCTCAGGGTCTCCTCAGGGTCACCTCAGGGTCTCCTCAGGGTCTCCTCAGGGTCACCTCAGGGTTCTCTCAGGGTCTCTCAGGTCCCTCAGGGTCTCCTCAGGGTCACCTCAGGGTCACCTCAGGGTCACCTCAGGGTCTCCTCAGGGTCTCCTCAGGGTCACCTCAGGGTCACCTCAGGGTCTCCTCAGGGTCTCCTCAGGGTCTCCTCAGGGTCTCCTCAGGGTCACCTCAGGGTCTCCTCAGGGTCTCCTCAGGGTCTCCTCAGGGTCACCTCAGGGTCTCCTCAGGGTCACCTCAGGGTCACCTCAGGGTCTCCTCAGGGTCTCCTCAGGGTCACCTCAGGGTCACCTCAGGGTCTCCTCAGGGTCACCTCAGGGTCTCCTCAGGGTCACCTCAGGGTCTCCTCAGGGTCTCCTCAGGGTCACCTCAGGGTCACCTCAGGGTCACCTTAGGGTCTCCTCAGTTCCTCAAACATGTGAATGAAACAAACACGAGTCCAGTTCTGTTTTTGAGGACAAACTGAATCAGCAGCTGCAACAAAACACAAACCTACAAACGATTTCTTACTGTCACATGAAGCTTTTGTCACTTTTGATTCACTCAAGCACGACTTTTACTCGAGTAAGAGTACTGTTACTTCAACACAAATATTACTCAAGAAGGAGTAAAAGTACTCAGCTAGAAAAGTATTCAGAAGAAGTACTCGAGTAAATCTAACAGAATCTCTCCCTCTCAGCTACAAGACAAACAAAGACACGAGACACAAGAAAGTTCTGTCACTCACCCAGACCTGCTTCTGTCCTCTGTGTCTTCTGTCTTCTGTCCTCTGTGGTCTGTCCTCTGTGTCCTCTGTCCTCTGTCCTCTGTGTCCTCTGTGTCTTCTGTCCTCTGTGGTCTGTCCTCTGTGTCCTCTGTGTCCTCTGTGGTCTGTCCTCTGTCCTCTGTGTCCTCTGTCCTCTCTGTCCTCTGTCCTCTGTGTCCTCTGTCCTCTGTGTCCTCTGTCCTCTCTGTCCTCTGTGTCCTCTGTGTCTTCTGTCCTCTCTGTCCTCTGTCCTCTGTGTCCTCTGTCCTCTCTGTCCTCTGTGTCCTCTGTGTCCTCTGTGTCTTCTGTCCTCTCTGTCCTCTCTGTCCTCTGTCTCTGTCCTCTGTGTCCTCTGTGTCTCTGTCTCTCTGTCTCTCTGTCCTCTGTCCTCTGTCCTCTCTGTCCTCTGTCCTCTGTGTCCTCTGTCCTCTGTCCTCTGTGTCCTCTGTGTCCTCTGTCCTCTGTCCTCTGTCTCTGTCCTCTGTGTCCTCTCTGATCTGTGTCCTCTGTCCTCTGTCCTCTGTCCTCTCTGTCCTCTCTGTCCTCTGTGTCTCTGTCCTCTCTGTCCTCTCTGTCCTCTGTCCTCTGTGTCCTCTGTCCTCTCTGTCCTCTGTCCTCTGTGCTTCTCTTCTCGTCTTTGGACTGAACTCAAACTGGACTTGTGTCTTTTAGGAAGTGAGAGCTGGAACTTCCCTCTGAATCTTCACAAACACGAGCGACTGTGTGGACGGGGGTTTGACCAAAACGGAAGTGAAAATACGTCCTTCTGTTCACACTTTGCGGTTGCATCATGTTGGGGGAGTTCTACATGTATGTCTACAGGGCAAACATCCTTCTGGACCGAGGCCGGACAAGTTTTAAACATGGACTTAAACGAGTCTTTAAGGTCCTCGACATGAGACGCAACCAAACCAACGAACCCTGAACCAGGACTAAACCAGGACTAAACCAGGACTAAACCAGAGAC